ACATCAATGATTTTCCTGAGGTGTTTGAAGGATTCTGGCATTTGCGCCTCTTCAGCTTTCCGACGGCCCAAGACGGCCCAAGAGGCTCCCAAGATCGCCCAAGAGGCCCCCGAGAGGGCCCCGTGACGGCCCAAGTGGCCTCCAAGACGGTCCCAAGAGGGCCCCAAGACGGCCCAAGAGGCCTCCAACACGTCCAAGATGGCCTCCAAGACGCTTAAGATGGCCTCCAAGACGGCCCGAAGCGCCCCAAGAGGGCCCCAAGTCGGCCCAGAAAGGCCCCCAAGACGGCTCCCGACGGCGTCAGACGTGCCAGGAACCCACCAAGATGGCCGAAGTTGGCTCGAAGCTGGCCCAAGACGGCCCAAGAGGCCCCCAAGAGGGCCTCCAGGAAGGCCAGAAAAGGCCAAAAACCTTGATGTTCCTCAGGTTTTGACGGATTGTAGCATTTGCTTCTTTTCGGCCTTCCGACGGCCCGAGACGGCCCAAGAGCCCCAAAATATCGCCGAAAGATCGCCTAAGAGGCCTCCAAGATGGCCCCAAAACGGCCCAAGAGGGCTCCAAGACGGCCCCAAGAGGCCCCCAAGACGGCACAGGACCAAACGGCCTCCGACGGCGTCAGACGGACCAGGAGCCCACCAAGACGACCGAACATGGCCCTCAGATGGCCCAAGACGGCCCAAGAGACCTCCAAGAGGGCCTGCAGGAAGGCCCGAAAAGGCCAAAATCATTGATTCCATGTGTTTTTGAAGAATTGTGGCATTTGCTTTTTTTCGGCCTCCCGACGGCCCGAGACGGCCCAAGTGCCCCCAAAGATTGCCCAAGAGGCCCAAGACACGGCCCCAAGAGGCCCCCAAGACGGCCCAAGAGGCCTCCAGGACGCTCAAGATGGCCTCCAAGACGGCCCAAGAGCCCTCCAAGACGTCCTCCAAGCAGGCCCGAAAGGGTCAAAATGGCCTCCAGACGGCCTAGATGACCTTCAAGATGCCCACGTGTTCCCCGAAGGCTTTCCAAACCGACTCGGGAAACACATGGTCCGATAACTTGGCAGGTCTGGCCTCAACGTTCGGCCACATATGCGCTTCCAAAAAGGCAGGGGGCGGCGGTGATTTGCCGTGGGCGTCTTCGATCCGCCGCCCCCTGTTGCTTGCAACAAGGGTGCCTGGCGTGCCAACTTATATGGCTTTTTGGTTTTGGCTCTTATTCCGTAAGATCTCCCCCTGGGGCTTCGGCCCGTCCCGCCGGGGTCCCGGGAAACCCATCTGTCAATGCTTCTGTTGCCCCAAGATGGCCCAATATGGTCCGATAGCTTGGCAGGTCTGGCCTCAACGTTCGGCCACACAGGCGCTTCCACAAAGGCAGGGGGCGGCGGTGATTCGCCGTGGGCGTCTTCGCCGCCCCCTGTCGATTCATCGCAGGGGTGCCTGGCGTGCCGAATCCTAGCGGCTTTGGTTGTGGTTCGTTTTCCAAAGAACTCTCCCCTGGGGCTTCGGCCCGTCCCGCCGGCCACCAGGAAGGATGCAGAAAATGTGCCCGGACCCGGTTGCAAAGGGCTTTTCCGTTCCAAACGGTCCCCAAGATCGTCCAAGATGGCCTCCAAGACGCCTCCAAGACGGGCCAAGATGGCCTCCAAAACGGCTAAGATGGCCCCAAGATGCCTCCAAGACGGCCCAAGGTGCACCCAAGACGCCCTAAGATGGCCCCAAGATGGCCCAAAACGGCCCAAGAGGCTCCCAAGAGGCCTCCAAGACAGCCCAAGAGGCCTCCAAGAGGGCCTCCAGGAAGGCCCGAAGAGGCCAAAATCATTGAATCTGCTTAGTTGTTTGAAGGATTTTGGTATTTGCGCCTTTTCGGCTTTTCGACGGCCCGAGACGGCCCAAGAGGCCCCCAAGGTCGGTCCAAGATCGCCCAATAGGCCTCCAAGATGGCCCCATGACCTCCCAAGAGGCCCCCAAGACGGCCCCAAGACGGGCCAAGAGGCATCCAAGACGCCCAAGACGGCCTCTAAGACGGCCCCGAAGCGCCCCAAGAGGGCCCCAAGTCGGCCCAGAGAGGCCCCCGAGACGGCTCCCGACGGCGTCAGACGTGCCAAGAGCCCACCAAGACGGCCGAAGATGGCCTTAAGATGGCCCAAGACGGCCCAAGAGGCCCCCAAGAGGGCCTCCAGGAAGGCCCCCAAAAGGCCAAAATCATTGATTTCCCTAAGAGTGTTTGAAGAATTGTGGCATTTGCTTCTTTTCGGCCTCCCGACGGCCCGAGACGGCCCAAGTGCCCCCAAAGATCGCCCAAGACGGCCCCAAGAGGCCCCCAAGACGGCCCAAGAGGCCTCCCAAACGCTCAAGATGGCCTCCAAGACGGGCCAAGAGCCTTCCAAGACGTCCTCCAAGAAGGCCCGAAAGGGTCAAAATGGCCTCCAGACGGCCAAGATGACCTTCAAGATGCCCACGTGTTCCCCGAAGGCTTTCCAACACATGGTCCGATAGTTTGGCAGGTCTGGCCTCAACTTTCGGCCACATAGGCGCTTCCAAAAAGGCAGGGGGCGGCTGTGCTTCGCCGTAGGCGTCTTCGATCCGCCGCCCCCTGTTGATTTAAAGCAAGGGTGCCTGGCGTGCTAGACCCTACCATTTCTGATTTGGTTCTTTTCCAAAAAGAACTCCCCCTGGGGCTTCGGCCCGTCCCGCCGACCACCCGGAAGGGACCACAAGGCGCCGAACTCCCCCAACAATTCCCCCAAGACCGCCAAGATGGCCCAAGATGGCCTCCAAGATGCCTCCAAGATGGGGACGATGGCCTCCAAGACGGCTAAAATGGCCTCAATATTCTTCCAATGCGTATGCACCCAAGACGGCCCAAGGTGGCCTCAAGATGACGGCAGACGGCCCAGGAGGGCCCCAAGAGGCTTCCAAGACGGCGCAAGAGGCCTCCAAGAGGGCCTCCAGGAAGGCCCGAAGAGGCCAACATCCTTGATTTTCCGAAGGCTTTTGAAGGATTGGGACATTCACGCCTTTTCGGCCTTCCGACGGCCCGAGACGGCCCAAGAGGCCACCAACGCTCGCCCCATCGCCCAAGAGGCCTCCGAGATGGCCCAAGAACGGCCCAAGAGGCCCCAGAGACAGCCCCAAGAGGCATCCAAGGCTCCCAAGATGGCGCCCAAGACGGCGGACGACGACGTCACACCGGCCACGAATGCCCTAAGACTGCCAAAGTGGCCTCCGAGAGGCTCACAGAGGCCCCCAAGAGGCCCAAGGAGGCTCCCAAGATGCCTCCAATAGGCCCCTAGGAAGCTCCCAGGAGGCCCCAAGAGTGCCCCAAGATGCTCCCAAGATGCCTCCTCCTCCTTTTCCCCCTCCTCCTCCTCCTCCTCCTCCTCCTCCTCCTCCTCCTCCTCCTCCTCCATGCCTTGTCCTGATCATTCCCTGTCGCACCCCGAGGCTGGTTTTCAGGGCGGTCCGGGCGTTTCGCCTGAGACTTCCTCACCATTTATGACCCTGACGCTTAAAACTTGACAACAGCTTCACAGATGGAGGGCGGGCAATTTTCAAAATGTGGCTCTCGCCTTAGCGCCGCGCACATTCGATTTTGAAACAGTTTCACGGATTGAGGGCGGGTGGTTTTCAAAATGTGGCTCTCGCCTTAGCGCTGCGCACATTCGTTTAAAATTGCAAGAGCTTCACCGATTGAGGGTGGTTCCTTTTCAAAATGTGGCTCCCGCCTTGGCGCCGCGCACATTCGTTTTACACATTTGCAAGAGTGTCACGGGTTCCCATGAGGACAATACCAGACATGGTGTTTTGGAAGGATTCAGGGTTATGAGGGTGCAGCAGCTACGTTCGCTCGCGGTACTGAAGTCCCAAGGATGGCGTTCTTGTACGATTCAGGATCGTCAAAACGCAACAGTCAGGTTGATCCGTGGCGTTGGAATCCCGAAAGCAAAACGGTTGTCTTCCAACGAGGCAATTCCCTCAATGGAAATGAACCGTTGTAGGGGCCTTTCAAGAGGGAGCTTGGATGGGCTGTTTGTTCCAACATCGTTGATGACCCTTGGGTTTACACTGGTCCTCCTCCTCCTCCTCCTTCTCCTCCTGCTCCTCCTCCTCCATTCCTTGTCCTGATCATTTCCTGTCGCACCCCGAGGCTGGTTTCCAGGGCGGGCCGGGCATTTCGCCTGAGACTTCCTCACCATTTATGACCCTGACGCTTAAAACTTGACAACAGCTTCACAGATGGAGGGCGGGCGGTTTTCAAACATGTGGCTCTCGCCTTAGCGCCGCGCACATTCGATTTTAACATTTGAAACAGTTTCACGGATTGAGGGCGGGTGGTTTTCAAAACGTGGCTCTCGCCTTAGCGCTGCGCACATTCGTTGCAAGAGCTTCACCGATTGAGGGTGGTTCCTTTCCAAAATGTGGCTCCCGCCTTGGCGCCGGGCACATTCGTTTTACACATTTGCAAGAGTGTCACGGGTTCCCATGAGGAAAATACCAGACATGGTGTTTTGGAAGGATTCAGGGTTATGAGGGTGCAGCAGTTACGCTCGTTCGCGGTACTGAAGTCCCAAGGATGGCGTTCTGGCACGATTCAGGATCGTCAAAACGCAACAGTCAGGTTGATCTGTGGCGGTGGAATCCCGAAAGCAAAACGGTGGTCTTCCAACGAGGCAATTCCCTCAATGGAAACGAACCGTTGTAGGGGCCTTTCGAGAGGGAGCTTGGATGGACGGTGTGTTCCAACATCGCTGATGACCCTTGGGTTCACACTGGTCCTCCTCCTCCTCCTCCTCCTCCTCCTCCTCCTCCTCCTCCTCCTCCTCCTCCTCCTACTCCTACTCCTCCTGAGCTTTACCGCCGTCCTCCCCCAAGCGTTTCCCGAAGGGTCTCCACAGCGGCGGGGGGAACACGTGGTCCGATGCCTTGGCAGAGCTCTTGCCACAGCACGCTCGGCCGCACGGGCGATTCGGAAAGGCAGGGGGCGGCGAGGACTCGCCGGAGGCGCCTTCGATAAACACTAAAAGCACGTTGACCCATCCAGAGAACAGGCCGCACAACAGATCGAACTGCTCGGCCGCGTAGCCCGACGCGGGGGCCACCCGTCCAGCCTCGCCGTGCTCCCCGTGGGAGCCAGCAAGGGGGTCGTGGGCCTGCCCCTCCTCGTCCCAGGCGGTGACCCTCTTGCTCATCCTCTCTCGCTGCGGATCCCACGGGCCGCTTCGCCGCCCCGAGGGCCAGCACTTCCAAGAGCAACCAGACAGATGCCGGTGACCCCCGAGAATCCGCCGACCCCGTCGGCGTGTGTGAGGGGCTTCCCCGTTCGAGTCGGGCTTCTCCGTTGGAGCCGTCCCCGGAGGCGCCCAAGATGGCACAAGAGGGCTCCCAGAGAGCCCCAAGGAGGGGAACTCGACCTGACATGAAGAGTCCTGCGCCCCAAGAGGGCCCCCCCACCCCGCGGCCGCCAGAAGGCACCCACGACAGCCCCAACAGGGCCCAAGAAGGCCCAGCGACGCCCAAATGAGAGGCCCCCCAAACGGCCCCAGATATGCCCCCTAAGTACACCCTGCGAAATGCTTAAGAAATCATGGGTTAAGAAATTCAGAGTCTCAGAACTTGAATAAAAACCAAACATTTCTGTTAAAATCTTAAGATCTACATTGAAACGTTAAGAATAATCGAGACTCTGGCCGAAAACTTAAGTTTTCTTCAGCATCGCCTAAGGTGTACGGAGCAGGGCCCGTTTTGTAAAACTCTGGGGGGCTCCCCAGGTGGACGCACGGCGCCAGCGCGCTTCTGCCGGAAGAAGGGCGTCCAGGGCTCCCAAAAATGTCGGCGCATAAACCAATGGATTGTAACAGGAAGCAGCGCCGTGTCAAACGAGATCTTGATGGAACAATGACGGTCAACATCAGCACACACACACATGACAGACGGTCATGTAACACTAGACCCTGTAGTGGAAATGCCATCGTATCATACATCTAGTGCTACACGTTACATCACGACATGCCATCAAGCATCCACCATTTAGGTGCACGCGGCGCGCATTAGGTGCGAGACCATGAAATCGTGCGACGGAAAGACACGCGAGTGCGCACACATAACAAGCGCTAAGCGGCCGCAAGCAAAAGTCCAGCACGACGGGCAGACAATCATAGCACACATGTATGGCATGTAAATGCTGTCCTTGGTGGGGGTCCCTCGAACATCGAAATAATGAGACGTTGATTGCTGAGACGGGTATGCCTGTCTCGGATCGGACGAAAGGGGAGATAGCGAAGGGGGGTCTATCGAATCAACTCACGTAGCTGGTTTTCCAAGCGCCGCGCCGCCAGGCGCCAATGTACGGAGGCAAGGCACCTGGCGGCGGGGCCAAAACCAGCTGCATGCAGCAGAGTTCACACCCGAGCGCTGCCATGTGGCGCCCAAACCTGCCTCCTGAGCGCTCTCCCCGAGCGCCCGAAGCTACCTCCGGAGCGCTTGCCCCACCTGTCGTCCGACCCGGCTGTCTCTTACTAGAACCCGTGGCCCCCGAAGGCGGCGGAGCGACCTGGGGGCTGGTACCTCATCGTGGCTCTGACCGTCTGTCTGGTCTGAGACGTGAGGGCCCCTGCGGCCATCATCTTGTGCCTGGGAAGAAGAGCAACGAGCAAGTAACGGTGTCCGCGACGGGAAAAACTGGTCTATGCGAACTGATCTGGCGACCTTACACGGTGGCTTACGCCGTCCGCCGGCGTGGCACGCCGCGTGGAAAAAAGGGCGCCCACACGCGGCCTCACGGTGGCAACTGATGCGCCAACGTCGGTAACGACGGAACCGTTTTTCTTCGCGTCGCTACTATTAAGTCGGGCGTGTCCCCCTACAGGGGGATTTTCGGCGAAAAATTAAAAATACGCAAACAACACTCCCAAATGGTCAAACAACACCCCAAACAATAGCCCCCAAAACTACTTTTTGACTATTTTTGGATATTCCCCCTGTAGAGGGACAGACCCGACTTAACGCTAATACGAAGGGAATCTCCTCGATCCCAGACGTCCTCGATCCTCGAGCCCCGTCCCACCCCCCCTCCTGCGCCGGCCCCCGAGGTGGAGCGGGAGGGAGGCGAGGCGGCAGGAGGAGCGCGCGCCTGAGCTTCACGATTCTCTGGCCCCTCTTGTAGGCAAAGTCGTCGTCGTCGGCCTTGCCTGGGCTGGCGGCGACTGCGGCCATGGCGCCAACAATGGGTTTGGACTTGGCGCCTGGGCAGTCGGCACAACCACAGCCGGCTGGGCCCAGCGTCGTCGCTGAGCCGGCAAACTTTGAGCCGGAATGCCTGCACGCCAGTTGGAAGAGGCATATCCATGGCTTAAAAGGTAGGAAGGCGTGGAAGATGTGTCTGGCTTCGCTGTGCCCCAGGGGACAGCCCTTGGGCTCTGGAAAAACACTAGCGATTGAATAGCATTTGAAGACGTGACCCTGGAAATCCGCAACCGCGTGTGCAGCGGTTGGTGTGTGCGTGAGCTTATGCGTGTGCGTGTGCGTGGGCGTGGGCGTGTGCGTGTGCGTGTGCGTGTGCGTGTGCGTGTGCGTGTGCGTGTGCGTGTGCGTGTGCGTGTGCGTGCGCGTGCGCGTGTGCGTGCGCGTGCGCGTGCGCGTGCGCGTGTGCGTGCGCGTGCGCGTGCGTGTGCGCGTGCGCGTGCGCGTGCGCGCGTGCGCGTGCGCGTGCGCGTGCGCGTGCGCGTGCGCGTGCGCGTGCGCGTGCGCGTGCGCGTGCGCGCGTGCGCGTGCGCGTGCGCGTGCGCGTGCGCGTGCGCGTGCGTGCGCGTGCGTGCGTGCGTGTGTGTGTGTGTGTGTGTGTGTGTTTGTGTGTGTGCGTGCGTTTTCTCTTCCTGCAGCTCCTTGCTGCCCCCCCTTCTTCAGCTCAGCGCAGTTCAGTACAGCCTGTGCCGACGCTGCTCCCCCCTCCGGCGCTGCCCCCCTGCCGCCGCCAGCAGCTCTGAGTGGCCCGGCTTCCTCTCCCGCCGTCGCGCCAGGGCTCCTCCTCCCCCTCCCTTGCATCGCGGCCTGAATTTGCATACAGCGTGTCCCCTGTTGCCATCCCGCCAGAGCAGCCTCTGTGCGTGTGTGTGCGTGTGTGCGTGTGCGTGTGCGTGTGTGTGCGTGTGCGTGTGCGTGTGCGTGTGCGTGTGCGTGTGCGTGTGCGTGTGCGTGTGCGTGTGCGTGTGCGTGTGCGTGTGCGCGTGTGCGTGTGCGTGTGCGTGTGCGTGTGCGTGTGCGTGTGCGTGTGCGTGTGCGTGTGCGTGTGCGTGTGCGTGTGCGTGTGCGTGTGCGTGTCGTGTCCTCGGTCTATTGGTTTCGCTTCTTGTGAAGAATTAGGGCGCTGCCCCCCAGGTGCGTCGAGCCCGACATGCGTTTATTGTCAGACTCTCCCCGCGCTTGTTGCCGTTTGAGCAAAAGCATGCGCCGCAGTCAAAACAGGGCCGCAATAACGCAGGTCACAAACATGAGCCCCTTCGCCGGAGGCCCGATGCCCCGAGGGAGGAGAGAGAGAGATGAACGCGGAGGGAGGGAGTGAGAGTGGAGGGAAGAGAGAGGCTGTTCGATTATATGGATACGTTCGACAGGTCCAAAGCCACACTAACGGCAACGTTGGTTAGCGGTGATGCTGAGAATCTGGTTTTTGCGACGCCGATATCGCGCATGAAAAATGATAGGACATCACGAAGCACACGTTCCTAGAATCTAAAGTGCGCTAAATGTATCGAATCAATCCAACACGGTGACTCGCAGGAAAGCGCGAAGCACGCTTCCCTGCACTCGGCTTGGCCTCGAACCAACCCTGCCTGCAATACCGAAGCCTACATCACCGCTAGCGTGCCTACGGCAGTTCCCTGCTGCTGGGCAGGCCTCCCTCGCATCAGCAGCACAGAACTTCGTCCAAGAGGAAACGCCGTGCCCGACGCAGGAGGTAGCCGCATGTGGAGGCGGGCAACCACATCACGCCCAGCTTTTCTGGACTGGGGCAGTGCTGCACTGCTGCCCACGTGCCCGACAACATCCCCCAGACGTGGCCAGATGATGCGAGGAGTGGCAAGCACTCACAGGAACGCACCCCTGGACGGGTCCAGGGAGTCGACTTTGAGGAGGAGGAGGAGGAGGAGGAGGAGGACGGGCGAGGGAAGGAGTAAGGAGCGAGGAAAGAGGAGGCATGGAGGAGGACCAGGCAGGGGAGGGGAGGGCAAGAACGAAGAGCGGGGAGGAGGGGTGGAGGGAGGGAGGAGGAAGGAGTGAGGCAAAGGAGAGGAGGGGGAGGAGTAGGAGGCAGGACGGAGGGAGGACAGCGGAGGCGGGAAGGACGAGGGAGGGGCGGCGGAGGGGGAGGGCGGAGGGACGTGCGCGAAACTGGGGTGCACGTCTCTTCCGCTCGTCGCGCTCGCCTGGGGGCGCGCGGCCGCAGAAGTCTCTCCGCTGCGACGCGACGCGTACGCCCGAGCCGAGCAGGGCCGACGACGAGGCCTGCAAGATGCACCGAGGCCGCCAGGGAGGCGGGCGCGGCGCGGTGCCGTCGGAGCGTGGCCGCGAGCGCGCGGGTCGAGAACGGGAGCCTCGTCGCCGAGGGTTAAGTCGGGCCTGTCCCCCTACAGGGGGAATTGCGACGAAGAATACAACATATACGAATAATCAAAACTAATCCAAAAATAGTCTGGGCACTATTCTTAATCTTTGTTTGCCTTTTTGGTGTACCCTTTGGGTATATTTTATTTTTCGTCGAAAATCCCTCTGTAGGGGGACACGCCCGACAGAAGCCGAGGGCCCAAGGCACAGTGGAGGTGCCCCAGACCAGCAGCATGCCGGGGCGGACAGCCCAACCCCGAAGACCACGAGGGCACCCCTCCAGAGCCGATCAGGGCTGCTCCGAACCCTCGTGCCAGCCGAACGTCGTGGCGCGGAGGGGACCGCCTCCACCCCAGCTGCGCGTCGGCTAACTCTTGTAGAACAACGGAAGAACTGCCAACACATGAGCCGTTCTGAAGGGGCCCCGGGACACGCAAACAAATGCACGCAAATAACAGGATACACCATATTTGCCAATATTATCTAGGCTTCTGTCTTCCCCCTACTTCCCATATTTTTCCATATGATCCTGGGGATCGACGGTCAGTCGTGTGTGTGTGTGTGTGTGTGTTCTTCCCCCTCCTGCTGTTCTTGGGTCGGCATCGGGCCCACCTCCACGGGACCCCTCGCGGCGCCTCTCTCGCCATCGCTCGGACGCCCATCCCCCGTGCACTCCTCGGTGTCGTGCGTGCTGTTTTTCTTTTCTCGCGAAACGGCCCAGTACGCTCTTCGATGGTCCCCGCCGAGAACACATGCACACGTCCGAGCGATGCCAAGCCCAGGGGGCCACAGGCGAACCCTACCCCTACCCCCCCACGATTTCTGAGGAGGAGGAGGAGGAGGAGGGTGGGGTTCACTTCGCTCGGGAGCTCCCAGACGAAGTGAGCCCCACCCCCCCCCTCAGAAATCATGGGGGGCAGGGGTGGGGTTCGCCTGTGGCCCCCCAGGCAAGCCTCTGGCACCGCCCCCCGGCGCGCTCCGCGCGCGGGGGAGCGGACGTGGTGTGGGAGGCCCGGTGCCGGCCGGAGAAAAACCATTGGGACCCCAGGAGTGGTCCAGGAGGCTATTTGGGGGGCTCCCAAGGGGGGGGGGGGCGCAATTACAGGGCAGTTTTCAATACATAGGATTTTTTATATGGGATTTTTTAGTACATGATAAATTTATGAATAGATTCATACGTGAACTCATCGTTATTTTTAATACTACATCCCTCCATTTTTAATACATTATCCGCACGCGGAGCATGTATAAAAAACGGCACTGTAGGGAACCCCCTTCTTTGATCGATCTCCTCCAAGATGGCCCCGAGAGCGCCCCTAAAGCCTCCCAAGAGCGCTCCAAGAGGGCCCCAAGAGGCACCCAGACGGCCCCAAGAGGCGCCCAAAACGCGAACGCGTCCAAGGGCCCAACACAGTTCTGCTTACAGTCGGAGTGGATTGGAGCGGACATGCGAGAGGACACAAGACTCTTCCGATGGCCACATTGCCAATGGATCGCAGAGGGCATGGGCCGCGAAAGACCAGACACAAGGGTACCTTTGTTTAGGAGGGTCGACCTACTAATCAGGGCCGACTGTATGCATTCTTCCGTTCTTCCGTCTTGGCCCAGGACGGCGACAGCATCCCAGCCGCGATCGCCAGATTGCAGGTGACCATCAGGAACGCGAACCAATAAATCGACAGGCGGCCGAACTCGCGCGGGGGCACCGGCGAGAAAGTGGCCTGCTTGATCTTGCTGTACCTGCGGATGCCAGACACCGCGGAGACGACGCACGCGGCCACCATCATCACGCGCGCGGCCTGGTAGCTGAGGCCGCCAACGAGGCTGAGGAAGCAGACGGTGGAGCGGAAGGCCGCCATGCTCGTGCGCATCCAGGCCAGCAGCGTTCGCTCATTGGCCTGGATGGAGGAAGAGGAGAAGCGGAGGAGCAGGGAGAGGGAGGAGGGAGAAGGTCCTCCTCCTGCCCCTCCTCATCCTTCGACTCTTCTGCTAAGAAGGGAGGTGAGGGAGAGCAAGAGAAGACGGCAAGGGGAGGAGGAAGAAGACAGAGATGATAGGACAAGTGAGGAGGAGGAGGAAGACCAGCAGCATCAGAAGCAGGATGAGAAGCCCCTAGAAGCTTTGTAGAACCCTCTAGATCCGCACATCGCCTTTCCAGAACCATCTGATCACCCTGCGCACACGCTCCCTCCTTGCGGAGCACAAAGGATCACTGGGATGGAGAAGGGAAGGCCACGAAGCGGACCTGGACTATCCACTAGGCACCCCAAATGACCCCGGAAACTGTCCAGAGCACTATCCACCAACAGGACCCCTCGCATGTTGAGGCGTGGTAGAGTAGGATACCAACTGCATTTGGGCAAGGGGTCTGCAAGTCTTCTAAGAGACCCCGTCCATCTCATCACAAACTGTTGCATGCTTAACCCCTCCGGCGTCTCCCTGGCGTGCTGCAAAACTACCCAAGATGTCCGAGGAAGGCCACCATGCCCGTCAAGATGGCCCAACATTGCCACAGGAGGCTCCAACGGAGCACACAGAATATATCCTAAGCGGCCTCCAAGAGGCGCCCAGACACCCCCAAGACGCTTTCCAGGGCATTAAAGTGCCCAAAAGAGCCCACCGAGCAAGAGGATCCGCCCAGAGTCGACGTCGAGCGCGCGGTTGACGCGAAGGCAATCGTGCAGGCGCTCGCCACACAACGCGAAGGAGGCTGTGCTGCAGGCCGACAAGAGGACCAAGAGGGCTTTTAGTCGGCCCAGGATGGCCCCAAGAGCGCCCCATGCTGGCCGAAGGGGGCTTCTGGCGGGACCCAAGATGACCTATGAGGTCCCCCTGACGACACAAGAATGCCCCAAAACGGCTAAAACGAACCTCCCCAGACGGCCAAGACAGCCCCAATAATGCCCAACAGGGCCCAAGATGGCCCCACGACAGCCCAAGAGGACCGCGGGACCTTCGACAGGAGCCCAAGACAGCCCCAAAACGGCCCACATAGACCCCATGCGAGCTCCTCAAGAAGTGGGGACGAAGGGTGTCACATGCGACGGCATATGACACCTCTCGTCACATGCCGTCTCATACTCGGTGGCGGATTTGCGGTGTCCTAAGGGTCGCACACTAAATCTCGCTGGCACGGTGGCGGATGACGTGGAATGTTTTTGTGAACGATTTTCCTTTACTAATGGCTCCAGGCTGCACTTGGGAACACGCTGGCGGATGACAGGAACCGCCCCCGGCGTGGACCGCTTGTTGGTGGAACATCAATGAATTCTTGGCTACGGATTGGACCGAGCACCCACTCTGGCGGATGACGGGAAGCGTCTTCATAAGGCCCTGGCTCGAGCGATTATGGCGATCTTCTTCGTGTCAGCGGGGTCGCAAGCCCCCGCACAACATGATTGCAGATCGATGGCGGGACATGTTTCGTTTCTCTTCTTTCTGTGCGCCATCGCACGCCGAATTGAACCACGCTGGAGAGCCGAGCGTTCGGTGGCGGCACGACCACCGTGGAGCCCCATGCCGTCCAACGACGACTACGACGGGGGCGAGCCAGTGCAAAGCCTGGGCACATCCTACAGTACCTACCGCGCCGCGCTCGCCAGAGGGCAGGCGGGGTACTGGGGCGACCGTCTAACACGTTGGGATATAGTGGCGAACCGTTGCAGCTGGATCTCACACAACCTTCCTGTCCTCATGCCTCACCATTACAGTTGTTGAGCCAGGAGCAATATGAGTTCTACAATTTTGTGATTTTCAATCGTGGTGGTACATCCTTGGCTGGTCATTCGTCGCCGTGGTGTACGTCTCGCAATAGGGAGTATCAGAGCAAGTGTCTGGTGACTTTGAGCTTGGCTCGGCCGGACTAATATACTCGCCCTGTTACACTTTCAGTGTGCTCAGTTGTCTCCTGTTCTGGTGTACTCGCATTGTGGTGCATGACGTTGCCACCTTTGCTCTGCTGGGAAGGGCGGTTTGCCTTCCATGCGTGTCACTTTCGCCTGCCTTCTGCACTCTCCCTCATTGCTTGTTTTCCACCGCGGCTGCAACGGCATGCCGCCTATCTCGCGGCCAGAGGGCCATGGCCAGTCGTATGAGCCCACCACCAGAGGGTGGCAGCCACGCATGATGTATCCTGGATACACATGTGCGCGGGTCACCCCAGAGCGGGTAGGCCTTGTCGAGGGCTTGCGAGACCTGTAGATCGGGGTTGCGTCTTCAAGAAAGCGTCTTCATGGTACGAGAAGCAAGCTGGACGTTGTGGCCGAAACTGTATGTAAGAGCGTATCGAAGATCCGCACGCGCGCCGCGAAACATGTTATTGCACCACGGCGCTCGCCAGCCCGACTCCACGGTAGCGTCGACTGGAACGGCTCCAGCCACCCGCCACACTGACAACGCCCACCAATATTCGACAGCCTCTAGTTGTACAGCCACGCCGGGCAACCATGGCAAGCAATGAAAATTAGCCTGACGAAAGACCCAACCATTTGTAGTTGCGAGTACCCCATTGTGGGTACCGGTTTCGGTGAAGCTCCCTATGGGGCCACGAAACGTATGAGGGGTGCGCCTTCGGTGGAGCTCCCTATGTGGCCACGAAACGCTGTCCTGGGTGGCGTTGACGCATGCGGCCTGCGCCACTGGAGCCTTCGGGTCCTGGGTGGCGTTGGCGCATGCGGCCCGTGCCAATGGAGTAATCGGTGGAGCTCCCTATGGGGCCACGAAACGCTGTCCTGGGTGACGTTGACGCATGCGGCCTGTGCCACTGGAGCCTTCGGGTCCTGGGTGGCGTTGACGCATGCGGCCTGTGCCAGTGGAGCCAGGTCGGTGGAGCTTCCTATGGGGAAACGAAACGCTGTCCCAGGTGGCGTTGACGCATGCGGCCTGTGCCAGTGGAGCCTTCGGTGGAGCTCCCTATGGGGCCACGAAGCGCTGTCCTGGGTGGGCTTGAGGAATGCGGCCTGTGCCACTGGAGTCTTCGGTGGAGCTCCCTGTGGGGCCACGAAACGCTGTCCTGGGTGGCGTTGACGCATGCGGCCTGTGCCACTGGAGCCTTCGGTGGACCTCCCTATGGGGCCACGACACGTGTAATGGGTGTGCCGACATGGTGGAAATGCGGAGAGCAGAGGCAGGGATGGGAGGAGGGAGGAGGGGAGGAGCGCGGGAGGTGAGGTGAAGTGGGGTGACGCGTGGCGCTGTCTCTTCAAAGCGAAGACCCAACACCACAAGATGGTTGGGAAACACTTGGTCTTTGGCATCCGCCCTTTCTGCAATCATCTCGCTGCCTGTCCAGCCCAGATTCTTTCAGAACGCTCAACATGCATTGGGACCTGGACCCAAGCGGACGTGAACTTTTTTGACCTCCACGGGCCCACCGCATAGTGCAAGCAACTGGCAGTGCGGGACCTGCCAGCTCTGAGAAATACCTCGCCTCGGCGAGAGCCGCTATGGGGAGGGGGCTTCGCGAGTTCCTTTCGGAGCGCCCACTATGGCCCCCAGGAGCAGGAGTTGCAGGAGGAGGAGGAGGAGGAGGAGGAGGAGGAGAAGGGGGAGGGGAGAATGATACGCCATCGACGTCGGGGAGGAGGAGGAGGCGTCGTCGAGGGTGCAACGGGGCGGAGGAGCCAGATCGGTGGACAGGCGCGAGAAGCGGTCGAGGTTCGCCACGGCCTCCTCGACCTGGGCGCGCCCCGCCCAAGGCGCCGCGGCACTTCCTCCTCCTGCTCCTCCTGCTCCTCCTCCTGCGCCTGCTCTTGATCCTGCTCCTGCGCCTGCTCCTGCTCCTCCTGCTCCTCCTTTTCCTCCTTTTCCTCCTGCTCCTCCTCCTCCTGCTCCTGTTCCTCCTCCTCCTCCTCCTCCTGCTCCTCATCCTCCTCCTCCTCCTCCTCGGCACCCCCGCCAAGCGCGGTTGAGGTCCAAGGATGGATGCTTCCGGGCATTGGACGTCTCGGGGCCTCCAGAGACCTCGGGGAACCCCCTAGTAAGGGCCTCTGGGAAGCCTCTGGGAAGCCTGTGGAACCTCTGGATACCTCCTCCTTATCCTCCTCCCCACCATTCCTCTTTCCCTCATAGGACGAAGCCAAGACACAAATCGAGCTGGGGCGAGATGAATCAGGAATCCAGGAGATTCTACGGCTCAAGAAGCCCCGAAAGGGCCTCACGACGGCCCAAGAGGGCCCCAATACGGCCCAGGAGAAGCACAAGAGGGCCCAAGGGGGCCCCGAGACGGGCCCAAATGTGACTACCTACCAAACCACCCCAACCCAACCCGAAGACCCGAATTTCGGGTTGGGGGGGGTAAGGGTTCCATACGTGTTTTTTCGATGTTCCGCGACCCCCCCCCACTGGAAATGGAGGGCAAATCTGAGCCTTCGGGTTGGGTTGGGGTGGTTTGGTGGGTGGTGAAAATGGGGAACCCGAGCTAACACTTCAAGCCTTCCCCCCAAAGAGGGCCACCGTCACCACCAGCATAGGCCCCGAAGGGACCCCCCAGTATATTCCACAAGAGGCTTCCAACAAGCCAGGATGCCACCGAGAGATTTCCCAAGAGACTCAAGAAGCCTCTTGTCCACGACCGTGGAGCAGATGAGTCGTGAATCTCCGAAAATCGGCAGGTCTGCCGGATGCGTTGAGCGCCGTAATGGTTCCAAAGCGCTCGGGCACGCTCCGAGAGCCAACGGGAACGTCCTGGAACGACTCATCTTTGCCCCAAGCCTGCCTGATCTCATCCCCCCATCGACGCGCCCGACTCGGGGACGAGCTCACCTGTGTCAGCGCTAACCCCGGCCAGCAAGGGCCACGTCCAAACCCAGGTCAGGCGGAGGGGCGGGGAGGGGCGGGGTCGGCTCCCCACGTGGCTCCCGAGCCCAGGCCCGCTGGAGGAGATCGGAGGGGCCTGGCCGACCCGAGCGCGGACCCCCCAGAACTCCGGCGTCATGGGTTTCTGTTCGCAGCGTGCCCAGCCGAGCTCTGGACCTCCCCCCTGGAGCCAGCCTGTCCTCCCGAATCGTGCTCTGACGGCCCCGACGGCCCGGCGGCGGCCCCCGGAGGCTGCACCCGGCCGAAGGCCTTCCTCCGTGATTTTTTGCCACGACGCACGGATGTCCAAGCTTCGGCGGTGGACAGACCTCCCTTTATAGCAAACCTCCCTTTCGTGAAAACGGCCTGGGACCGAAACCGACGGACCTGGACCCGCAAAAACGACGGCCGCGACGCCCCCTCGCGAAGCGAAAACGGCCAATGCCTTCATCGACGTGTCAGGGTATTTGAGGCCTGTCCCCCCCCGAATTGATCGCGGGCCCACGCTGCGTGGGCCCGACCGGCCTCGGCCATCGGCAGCCCGGTGCCCGCGGTGTCGGTGCGGAGCACGGGGCTCTCCAGGTGCTCCGCGGGGCCCTCGTCGCGCGCCCACGGGTCGCTCCACGGCGCCTGCGCCGCGGCGGCCTCTGGGTGCGGCCGCCTCGGAGAGCGAGGGGGGCGCGGAGGGGGGGGGGCAGGGCGGGGGGGGAGCAGCGAGAACTCAGAGCTCTGGAGTTCGCGCAGGGGCTCCACGAGGGAACCTTTCTCGGCGGTGCACACATGCACACAGCAAGGCGCCTGCGCGTCCCAAGGGAGCTGCCACCGCCACCGTGCGCCCAGCCTGGCCTGCGAGATGTCCCGGCTCCCGGAGCCCCGCCAGGCAGTCCCGCCTGGAAGGCCGCCCATTTTGGACAACCAGCCCCGCCTCCATGAATCCGCGGCGTGGCCCGCGTCTCCTGGACATCGTCGTCCGTCCGTCCGTAGCCATATCCATTGCCCTCAGGTTCGTCATCGTCGTCGTCGTCCGTGGTCCGTCGTGCGTCGCCCGTCGTCGTTGTCGTCGTCGTCGTCGTCGTCGCGTCGTCGTCGTCCTTCGTCGTCGTCGTGCGTCGTCGTCGTTGTCGTCGTGGCCGTCGTCGTCGTCGTCGTCGACCGTCCGTCCGTCGTCGTCGTTGTCGTCGTCCATCATCTTCGTCGTCGTGGTCGTCGTCGTCGTCGTGGTCGTCGTCGTCGTCGTGGTCGTCGTCGTCGTCGTGGTCGTCTTCGTCGTCGCCGTCGTCGTCGTCGTTGCCGTCGTCCATCATCGTCGTCGTCGTGGTCGTAGTCGTCGTCGTTGCCGTCGTCGTCTCCGACGTCCGACGTCCGACGTCCGTCGTCTGTCGTCCGTCGTCGGTTGTCGTCCGTCGTCAGATGTCGTCCGTTTTCCGTTGTCGGTCGTTGTCGTCGTCGTGGTCGTCGTCGTCGTTGCGTCGTCGTCGTCGTCGCCGTCGCCGTCTTCGTCGTCATTGTCGTCGTCGTGGTCGTCGTCGTCCGTCGTGCGTCGTCGTCGTCGTCGTCGTCGTCCGTCGTGCGTCGTGCGTCGTCGTTGTCGTCGTCGGCGTCCGCCGTCAGTCGTCGTCCGTCGTGCGTCGCCCGTCGTCGTCGCCGTTCGTCGTCGTCGTCGTCGTCTTCGTCGTCAGACGTCGTCGTCCGTCATCGGTCGTCGTCCGTCGTTCGTCGTCGATCGACGTGCGTCGTTCGTCGTGCCTCGTCGCCAACCCTTCGTCATGGTGGTCATCGTCGTCCGTCGTCATCGTCTTCATCGTCGTCGTGGTCCGTCGTCATCGTCGTCGTCGTCGCCGTCGTCCATCGTTCGTCGTCCGTCGTCGGTCGTCGTCCGTGACCCGTCGGTCGTCAGTCGTGCGTCGCCGTGGTCGTCGCACGCACCGTCGTCGAAATCGTCGTCGTCGTCGTTGGCGACGTCGTCGGCGTCGTCCTCGCTCGTTGGCGTCGTCGACATCGTCGTCGCCTCCGTCGTCCATCGTCGTCCGGGGTGCGTCGCCGTCGTCGTCGTCGTCGTCGTAGTCGCGTCGTCGTCTTCGCATGGATGGTCGCGTCGTGGCCCGCGTCTCCTGGACATCGTCGTCCGTCCGTCCGTCGCCAGACCCGCTGCCCTCAAGATCGTCGTCGTCGTCCGTCGTGCGTCGCCCGTCGTCGTCGTCGTCGTCATCACGTCGCCCGTCGTCTGTCGTTGGCGTCGTTCTCGTCAGCTCCGTCGTCCGTCGTCCGCCGTCGTCAGTCGTGCGTCGCCGTCGATTGCGTCGCGTCGTCGTCGTCGTCGTCCGTCGTCGTCGTAGTCGTCGTCGTTGTCGTCATCGTTGTCCGTCGTCGTCGTCATCGTCGTGGTTGTCGTCGTCGGCGTCCATCGTCATCGTCGTCGCCGTCGTCGCCGTCGTCGTCGGCGTCCGTCGTCGTCATCGTCGTCATCGTCGTCGTGGTCGTCGTCGTCGGCGTCATCGTCGTCGTCGTCCGTCGTCCGTCGTCGTCAGTGGTCGTCGTCCGTCGTCCGTCGTCGGTCGTCGTCAGTCGTCCGTCGTCGGTCGTCGTCCCGTCGTCCGACGTCCGTCGTCGTCGTCGTCGGTGTCGTCGTCGTCGTCGTCCCCGTCGTCCGTGGCCGTCGTCGTCGCAGACGTCGGCACCGTCGTCAGTCGTAGTCGTGGTCGTCGTCGTCGTCGTCGGCGGCGGCGGCGGCGTCCGTCGTCGCCGGTCGTCGTCATCGTCTGTCGTCGGCCATGTCAACGGCCGTGGTTCGTCGTCGTCGCCGTCATCGTCGTCGCCGTCATCCGTCGTCGGTCGTCTGTCCTCCGTCGTGCGTCGCCGTCGTCCCCGTCGTCCGCCGTCGTCAGGTCGCGCGTCGCCGTCGTCTTCGTCGCATCGTCGTCGCGTCGTCGTCGTCCGTCGTCGTCGTCCGTCGTCGTCGTCGTCTGACGTCGTCGTCGTCTTCATCGTCTTCCTCGTCGTCGTCGTCGTCGGCGGCGTGGTCATCGGCGTCGGCGGCGTCGTCGTCGTCGCTCGTTGGCGTCGTCGTCGTCGACGTCGTTTCCGTCGTCCGTCGTCTCCGTTGTGTGTCACCGTCGTCGTCGTCGTCGTCGCGTCGTCGTCGTCGTGATCGGTCGCCGTCATCCGTCGTGCGTCGTCGTCGTCGTCGTGGTCGTCGTCGTCGTCATCGTCGTCGTCCGTCGTCGTCGTCGTCGTCGTCCGTCGTCGTCGTCGTCGTTTCCCGCCGTCCATCATCGTCTTCGTGGTCCGTCGTCGTCGTCGGCGTCCGTCGTCCGTCGTCGCTGTCGTCGTCATCGTCGTCGTCGTCGCCGGTCGACATCTCCGTCGTTCGTCGTCCGTCGTCCTTCGTCCGTCGTCGTCCGTCGTCGTCCGTCATCGTCGGCCGTCGTCCGTCGTCGTCGTGGTCGTCCGTCGTCGTCGTCGTCGTAGTTATCGTCGTCGTCCGACGTCGGTCGTCCGTCGTCGTTGTCGTCGTCGACGTCGCCGTCGTCGTCTTCGTCGTCGGCGGCGTCGGCGTCGTCGTCGTCGTTCGTTGTCGTCGTCGTCGTTCGTTGGCGTCGTCGTCGTCATCTTCGTCAACGTTGTCGTCCGTCGTGCGTCGCCGTCGTCGGCATCGCGTCGTCGTCGTCGTTGTCGTCGTCGTCGTCGCCGTCCGTCGTCGGCGTCCGTCGTCTCCGTCGTCTTCGTCGTCGTAGTAGTAGTCGTCGTCGTCGTCGTCGTGGTCGTCGTCGTCGTCGTGCGTCGCCGTCCTCATCATCGTCGTCGTCGTGTTCGTCGTCGTCATTATCGTCGTCGTCGTCCGTCGCTGTGGTCGCCGTCTGTCGTCGTTTTGTCCGTCGTCGTCGTCGTCCGTCGTCGTCTCCGCCGTCGTCCGTTGCCGTCGTCCGTCGCCGGCGACCGCCGTCGGTCAAACGTAGTCGGTCGTCAGTCGTCGTCGTCGTAGTCGTTGTCGTCGGCGCCGTCGGTGCTCGTCGTCGTCGTCGTGATCCGTCGTCGTCGACGTCGACGTCGTCCGTCGTCGTCGTCATCGTCGTCGTCGTCGTCGACGTCGTCGTCGCCTTCGTCGTCGTGGTCGTCGTCGTCGTCGTGCGTCGTCGTCGTCGTCCGTCGTCGGCTTCCGTCGTCGCAGTCGTCGTCGTCGTCGTCGTCGTCGTCGTCGTCGTCGCCGTCGCCGTTGCCGTCGTCGTCGTCGTCGTCGTCGTCGTCGTCGTCGTCGTCGTCGTCGTTGCCGTCGTCGTCGTCGTCTTTGTCCGACGACGTCGTCGTCGTCGTCGCTGTCGTTCTCGTCGTCGTCGTCGCCCGTGGTCGTCGTCGTCGTCGCTGTCATCGTATTCGTCCGTCATCGTCGTCGCCGTCGTCTCCATTATCCGTTGTCCGTCGTCGGTCGTCGTCCGTCGTCGGTCGTCGTCGACCGTCGTCCGTCGTCGTGGTCGTCGTCGTCGGCCGTCGCCTGTCGTCGGGTCGTCGTCATCGTCGGCATCGGCGTCGCTCGTTGGCGTCGTCGTCGTGTTCGTCGTCGTTTCCGTCGTCCGCTGCCCGTCGTCGATCGTCGTCCGTCGTCGTCGGCCGTCGTCCGTGGTCGGACGTCGTCTGTCGTCGTCGTCAGCCGTCGTGTCGTCGGTGGGTCGTCGTCGCCATCGGCGTCGAAATCGGCGTCGTCGTCGTCGTCGCTCGTTTGTCTTCGTCGTCCGTCGTCCGTGGTCTTCGCCGTCGCCAGTGTCGAGGGTCGAGAAGCTGGGGTCGGCATGCTTGGACATTACTGCGCGCGTTTACGTTTCGGGAGGTGGCTTCACTGCCACTCCTGCTCCTCGTCCTCATCTTTCCTCCTCGCTACCTCGAAGATCCTCCTGCTCCTCACAGCTGCCCCCCGTCCCGTCCCCCTTCCCCCCACGCCCGCACAGCCCTCCTCTTTCTCCCCCATTACCCCCCGGATGCTCCGAATGCTCCTCTGGGCGGCCGCCCGAGTCACGGGCGGGCGCCGCGACGGCACACGGCCCGCGCTGCGGCGGCTTCAAGACGAGCTGAAGTCCATGGAGTATGCATGGGGCAGGATCGCCTGAAGGCCCTGCGGCGCCCCGACCAATGCAAGCGGGACCAAACCACCAGTGGGTTCTGTGCCACCCCTGCCAAGGACAGTCGGCGCAGCAAGGCACCACCGCCAGCCAGAAAACATCACATCAAAAGTAACTGCCTCATCTGCACCTTGAAGACTGCTAGGTTCACCAGAGACCGCGCGCCAGATCAGAAGACCTCGCCGATCTCTCTGAAGCCGCAGAACATGAAGTACGAATAGGGACGGATCACCCGATGGTTCTGCAACACCCCCCAATGCAAGTAGGGCAGGATCACCCGAAAGGTCCGTGGCGCCCTTGTCCAGACTAGCCAGCGAAGTCAGTCGCCACCGCCGGCCAAAACATAGCACATCAAGAAACAACTGCCGCCGAGGCGCCACGACGCCACATCCTGCGCCAGAGACCACGCCCCGGAGACGGCGTGGATCAAAATGCAGCAGCCGCAACTGGCATGCGCGCGGGGCAGGACAAGCGCAAGCTCGGTCACGCCCGCGTCAGTGATGATGCGGCGGGATCACCAGCGAACTCCGCGACGCCCCTATCAATGCAAGCGGAGCAGGATCACCCGCAGGCTGTGCGACGTCCCTGAGATGAACAGCCAGCGCAAGTCAAAACACCAGACAACTCAACAGCACTCAGAACCTTACTTCCTCATCTGCGACCCGACGTCTGCGAGGAACTCCAGATATCTCGCGTTGGCAACGCGCGAGACACACGAGACCTGAACGTTGCGCGTCGCAGGGCCATCTTTGTGCCACGCAAGGACAGCCCTTTTTGAGCTTGAGAAACCTTCCTGCGTGGCATCACTTCTGGGCCGCGCTCGCCCCGCGCAGGTGCAAGCCATG